GTGTCTGACAAACACAGCAATTCAAAAGCTCTTCATGGTTTTATTTTGAAACCTTTCTTGTGCCTGAATGAGCTGGATGGAGCCATTAAGAAATGTGAGAGGTGGCAAGGATGAACATGCACGTTCTTAATGCCTTTCTCAGCCCTCCTTTTATTTATTTTATTTTTAGCACTGTTCAGCTGGTAATGGTAAGGTAGGATATAGCTGTTCGAACAGACACAGCACTGGGTCACTGGCTTCCGCGTGGGCAGACAGTTGCCAAGACTTCATCCCATGTTGAATTTTTATTTTCATTAATTTGAACGTCAGCAACTGTCATTGGTGAAGGAGGTAAAATTAGCTTGCAATTCCCCCTCCCTCCTTGGTATCCATAATAGACTCCCGGGACTGTGCTTTTGAAGCAGGGTGGGAAGGGGAGGAGGGAAGAGTCACACAAAAGACAAATGAACTGTTTGGATATTTATTTTTTCTTTCCTTCCTAGTCAGAAATGTTAATTGACTTGGCCTGAGTTCAGCTGAGGGAGGGGAAGGATAAGTGTTCAGCTTTGCTCTGAAAGGGGTGGCTCAAGGCTCCACAGATGTGCAGTTGGGGTGTATGGAGAAGAGGAAAAACCCTGAACTCTGGGGTGGGTCCAGCCGGGCTGTGCTGTTCTGGGGCTGCAGCCTGACCCACGCGAGCTGCTTCGCTGGGGACAGCCCCAGCTCTGGAGGAGCGCTGGGGCCAGCGTGCCCTCCTCTTCCAGAGGGCTCCTGAAGCTCGGCCACCTCGGCCCTGCCCAGCAAGGCTCCCCCCTCCTCGGGGCTCGGGAGCCAACAGGGTCAATGTGTGCAGCGGGGCACGGCCGGCACTTCTGCTTCGTGCTCCTGAGCCTCTCGTCTCGCCGGTCCCTTTCCGAAAGGTGACATCTCCAGGGCACCCCATCCTTTGGTGAGCTGTGCCAGGAGCTGGCTCCCTGTGTCTCAGGGGGGTGCAGGGCCGGACACCCCCTCCCCAGGGAGCGCAGTGGGTGCCATCAGCTCTGGCAGCCAGAGCCTTGGGTGCGCGGCGAGCGAGTCCCTGTCTGCTCCCATGGCAAGGTAGACGCGTGCGGCTAAGCGGCAACACGCCGGTAGCCGAGAGCTGCATCAAAATGTGGGGAGGGGACAGGGACTGCTCGCCAGCAGGGCCATGGGGGAATGAGCCACTTGCTCATTCTTGGTTAGAGAACCCAGAATCACTTGCTGACAGGCGCATCCCTCCTGCCCTTCCTCCCTGGCTCTGAGCCCCTGGCCCAAGCCGCGGTACCTCACCCCGTTTTGCGGTGCTGGAGTGTCCAAACCACGGCACCGGGACGGCATGCCCGAGCTCTCAGCAAGGCGGGAGTGCAGCTCGCTAGCCTGGACTGACACCTTTGATCTACAGACCAAGGAGCAGGGTTGTCTCTCAAGGTAATTCCTGCCTGGGCCCAGGGCTGCAGCTAAGCCTGCCTTTGGGAGAAGAAATCCACTCCCCGGTGAGCGCGCCAGGTCGCTGGCCGTGCAGGCGCTCAACTTGCCACCCAATTTCCAAGCATGCGGTTTAACTCCAGCCTGCTGGGTGCTGCCCCGCTGCAGCCTGCGCTTTGCTCCCTGTTTCTGCACTGGTGAGGCTGTGCCACGGCCGGTCCCCACCAGGCAGAGGGGCCGTGCTCTGCGCCGGGGCCGGGCTCCTGCCGCCTTCGCTGCTTCGGGTGTCTGAGCATTCAGCGAGACTGATCCCGCTCCCCTGCACCAGCCCTTGGGGCAGAGGAAGGTGGGTGCTGGAGGTGACTGTCTGAACAAGGTGACCCCCCCTCCATGTCCCCTTGCAGCGTTTGTTTCCCAAATGTCTCTTCACCCGTGGAGGACGTGCTGTGCGTGGCTGCCGGGCTGGAGGATGGGGGCAGAGCGGAGAGGAGCCCGCAGGGATGAGGAGGAGCGCAGGGGGTCCGAGGTGGACCCCCACTGTTCTCCTTCAGAGGAGAAGCGGCTCTCCCACCACCCCCATCCCCACGTGTCCCTCCTCCCCGATCCCAGCAGCAGTGGGGTGATCACTGGCGCAAGTACAGAGATGACGTGCCGCTCGGCCTTGGCGGAGAAAGGATGGAGCATCCTTTAAAGAAAATTATACATAATCGTCTTACAGCCTTCACTTCCACTCAAACCTCTGAGTCATAACTGAAGGGCCCTGGAGCGTGACGTTCCTGCTGGAAGGAAATTGCCTGGGCTGGATCCGGTGGGGGGGAGCCAGGAACCTGCTGAATCCTCTCCTCAGCCCTGTGTCTGGCTGGGGATGTGCCGTGGTGCCGACGGGAGCCAGGCTGTGTCTGCAGCCTCATCCCCTCCCGCTCCGGGCCTTGGTGGTGCCGGGGGGGGCCCTTGGTGACTGCCTGGCTGTGTGGATGTGACTCGAGCCCCTGTCCAGCCATGGCAGTGGGCAGATGCCTCTGGAAATGGCTTTTCATCTGCTGTGATGAGTCACAGGGAGCTGGGCTGCAGAGGGGAGCAGGGATGCTTTGAGACTGTTCTTCCCTTGGGGGGGCAGGAGCTGGCTGCTGCCGGGGGGTCCAGGGTGGGCACGGCGGCTGCCCAGCCCACCTGGGGAGGAAGGGGAACGCCATTCTCCAGGTCTGGACTGGCCGTGCCTGTGGCTCTCACTGCCTTGGGTTTTCTTTTCTCTTGTGTGCTGGGGAAACAGGGGGAAAACCAGTCCTGGGAGGGAGATGCTGTCTCGGGCTCCTTGCCTCACACATCCCCCCTTTGGGCTGCCCCTCCTGTGGTCCTCGAAGGTGTAAAAACGGGCTCTGTTTTCCCCTGGGAGCTGCACGCCTTCCAGGCGATGGGAAGGGTTGCTCCTCGGTGTCGGCGATGCTCCGGGGCCGCTGCCCTCCTCTGCCTCACCGTCTCCCTTCCCTTGCAGGACAGGTGCCTGAGGAGGAGGCAGGGCAGAACGGGCAGAGCCGCGGCAAAGGGCTGCCCAAGGCCGTGTGCATGAACGGGACGGAGACGGGACAGCTGAGCACCAAATCCAAGGCGGAGCGGCGGGCGAGCGCCTCGTCCAACCCCTCCCGCAAGGCCTGCTCCGCCAGCAGCAAGATCCGCAAGCTCTCCACCTGCAAGCAGCAGTGAGGCGGGAGCCCCGCGCTCTGCACAGGTACAGGCAGCCCCAGCCCCACGGGGGGTGGGAGGGGCACTGGAGGTGGGGGGACACATCCCAACCTGCCCCGACCCTGGGCAGCAGGAAGGAGCTGGAAAGGTCACAGGTGCGGAGAGGGGAGAGGTCTGGTCCTGAGCATCCCTCTGTAGCTGTCCCTGGCAGCCAGAGCCTGGATCCTCTGCGGCGCTGGGGGGGTGCAGAGCCCAGTGGGGACCCCCCCGTGCCCTCCCTCCCTCCCCCTGCTCTGCTGCCTGCCTGGCTTGGCTCTACCCCCTTCTTGCAGGCTGCTGCCGTGTCAGGCAAGAGCTGCTGCTGTAATCCTTCCTCCCCTCCTGGGCTGCAGCTGGGCTGGGTAGTGACCCCCCCCCGCCTTTCCCTGGCACCAGAGCCCCCCCGCTTGCCCCCTGCTCTGCTCCCAGCTGGGGGGAGCACAAAGCCTGCGGCGTGTGGAGGAGCTGGGCGGCACCGGGATGCTGAGCACCGGGGTGCTTCCAGAGGGATCCCCCACACGACCTACCCCCGCCTTGCTCCAGGACGTGGCCGGGCCACTGCCACCCCCCAAGCCCCTTCCTCTCCTCGGGGAAGCTGAGCACCCTCCCTGCTTCCCCCCTCCTCCTTCCGGTGCTTTCCTCCTCGGCTCCGCAGCCCTGTCCCCTTCTTCCCACCCCTCATTCATAAGTGAGCCAGCAATGACTCATGTTCAGTGCTCATCCACCCCCGGCCTCACGCTTGTGCTCGTCACTGGCGCTCGGTGGGGCTGAGGCTCTGTTATCTGTTTGGATCACGACCAGCTTTGTGGTGTGAAAAAAGCCAGAAATAAAAGCCTGTTCCTCCCCCTGCAGCTGTCAGACCCGCGCTCAGCCCCTGTGGCAGCTTTCATCTTTAATTCATGGCTGGGAGTGAGTCACCTGTGCGGGGAGTTACTGTGGCAAGCAAATGCCTTGGATCTGGGGCTCCCCCGGGCTCTGCTGCTCCTCTCGCCCCTTTTCCCGCTCGGGTGCCCAGCGGTTTCGGGCAGGGGAAGGCCGGTGCAGGCTGCCCGAGCCTGGCTCCATCCCTGCCCCCCGGAATCGCCTGCCCTTGCGCTGCCCCCCCTTTAGCCAGCGCCTCAAACCCTTTGAAAGGTTTTGACCATAACTGAAGTTCCTTGGCTGCGTTTTCCCCCTGGGTTTTTGCCTCCCCGGGGGCAGGGGCAGGCTCGGGGTTACCTGGCCGAAGGGCTGGGCGCTGTGTGAGCACCCCCGGGCCCCTCTCGCTCCCGTCTGCACGGCCCCAGCTGGAGAGGGGGGATGTGGAGCAGGGGGGGTCCCACCCAGGGTTGCAGGAGGGGCCAGGAGTGGAGCAGGGACTTGCACGCCAAGTTTGCACCGGCCCTGCCCTCCCTAACACCACCCCCCCCTCTCTGTCCTCCTGCCAACAGCATCCCCGGGGCCAGGGCCACCCTGCGCCCCCCATCCTCGCCCCATCTCTGCCTCTTTCCTGGGAGCGGATTGTGCTTGCGACCCGAAACGAAACCAGAGGAAACCAACCCCGGCCCCCCCTCAGCGCAGCCCCTGCCCCGGCCAGCGCCCAGAAGCCGAGGGTGGCCAGACCCCACTTACCACCTCGGAAGATGAACTCTCCGGCTGCGAAGATGCTGCCCCTCCTCCCCAATCACTCTTTGCCAATCAAGACACTGATTCTGTTTTTAATTTTGCGATGGGAAGGGCGGGCTGAGCGGGGCCGGGGTGGGGGGACCCGTGCCCCCTCCCTGCCAGGCCCGCCCGGGCCCACTCTGGCTGTGTAGAAGTCGTGCAAAGCCATTGCCGTGCACTTTATGTTTTAGACTACTGTTATATATTATATATTTTCCTCTTTTTTTTTGGTTTTGTTTATATTTGCAGTATATTTAGAGATTCCTACACATCGTGATGTGTTTAAAATAAACCAGATGAGGAAAAAAAACAGGTATTAAGACAAAGCAAAACTCTATTAAACCTGCATGCTGTAAAAGGGCTCGGAAAAGGGAATGGGTGCATTCGTTGTCTTTTTTTCTTTTTTTTTCTTTTTTTTTTTTTTTTAAAGAAAAAAAAATAAAGTGAAAACAGCGAGGTGGGTTTCATGTCCTTCCTCCTGCAGCAGGCGGGGTGAGGGGTGTGGGCTGGGGCTCAGCCAGCCCTTCTTCCTGGGGGCTGTGCTCCTTTTGGGGTGCGGGGCCCCCCCCCCGGGCCACCCTGCTCTTCTGGGAGCGAGCGCAGGGGCAATGCTGGGTCAGGATCGGGCCCCTGCCCCCCTCCAGCAGCCCCCCGGGTGGGTGGAAGGTAGGAAACAAGCTCAGAAAAGTCACAGGTTTTTTTTTTCTCCTTTGTTTATAGACTTAAAAATGCTGAGTTGTAGTTAGTGCTTTGGAAGGAGACTTTGCAGAGGGAAGGAGCGACCTGGCCTCTACTCGCATGCAATGGAGGGGCACTGGGGGGGGCCCGTGGCTGAGCCCCTCTGCCCCCCCCCCTCCCCCCCCCCCCCGCCAAGTCTCCCAGCTACCCCAGCTTGGGCTTTTTTTTTTTTTTTTTTCCTTCACCCATCCTTTGAATCACAAATAAAACCCCAGTAAAAAGCTCACCCCTCCCCCAGAGCAGCAGCATCCACCTCTGTAAAAATCAATAAATATCCTCTGCATGCCCCGAGCCCGGCGCCCAGCCCCCGGGGGGGGCACCCAGGGCACATGCTGGCCTGACACCCCCCCACACCCTGCTCTCACCCTGGGTGCCCCCAGCAGCCTCCACCCCTCTGGGTGTACTTATGGGGGTGCAGGGCTGGTCCTGCCTCCCCCCACCCTCGGGATGCTGCCGGGGGGGGGGCCCACGGCTGGCCCCTGCCCTGGGAGAAGGGGCGGGGGGGGGGGGAGATGCACAAGCCCCTCCAGCGTCCTCCTGCCCAGCAGCCCCAGGGCCCCCAGTTCCAGTTTGGATCCCAGGCTCCCTGCAGCACTGGGGGGGGGGGTTGGGGGTTCATGGGCATGAGGGGGTGACTCCAACCCCCACCCCCCCCGGCAGGGTGGCACCACGGCATCCCCCAGCCATCGGAGTGGGGGGACAAACCCAGCTCCGGCCCCTTCCTCACCAGGATGGTCCTTGGCTGGCCGGGAGGCATTATTGCTTGGAAAAAAAAACAGGAGCGAGAGGGGGGAGCGTATCTGCTACAGCGCTCTGCCGTGAGGTCAGGATTGGGCCTCGGCTGGGTTTGGGGGTTTATTAGCCACGTCCCTGGTCGTTGACCCCCCCCCCTCCCCTCCCTGGCCAACGCTCTGCTTCACCTCCGGGCACCCCCAGCCCGGGCCCCTCCGCCGCTGCCTGGCACCTCGCTCGCAGGAGCGAGGGGGCTCGACCACCCCACGCTACCGGCCCCCCACTGCACCGGGGGGGGGGGATGGGGGGTTCGGTCAGGGGACCCCACGTGCCCTCCTGGCCATCTCACGCTGGGGCCACCCTTCCTGCGGCACCCCGGGCTGCTCCCCACGCCGGCAGCAGGAGGGGATGGGGCCCCGAAGGCTAGTGGGGGCCGAGCCCCCCTCCACCGGGGTCTCTCCCCGTCACGCTGCACCTAGACAGGGCTGTGGTCGGGGGGGGCATCGCTGGCCGCCACGGCCACCGCGGGCTCGGCCCTCGCTCCCGTTTTCCTCAAGTGCCCGTAGAGCCGCTCCTCGAGGCCGCCGGCGATCTTGTCCATCAGCTCCGAGCCGGAGCCCAGCCCCAGGCACCTCCCGGGGCCGGGGCAGTCGTCGTCCCCGGGGGGCTCGGACCCCACTTTGGGTTCAGGGGCCACCTCTCCGGGCTCCTCCACGATCACCTGGATCTCAGGGTCGGGCAGCGCCGGGGCGGGGGGGACCCCCTCAGCCGCTTCCGCCGCCTCCTCGTCGCCGGCGCTGACGATGCGGGGCAGGGGGCTGTGGAAGCGGGCGTCCAGGGGGTAGTTGGCACTGTCCCCCCGGCGCAGGGGCGTGCGGTGCCGCTCCAGGGCTGGGTAGCGCACGCCGGGGTCGCTGTACTGCTTGGTGTGCTGCCACTGCTTGCGGAGGTGGGTGCGGGAGCGGTGCTTCCCCCCCCGCAGCGGCGACTCGTCGAACTGGGGGTCGTGGCGCACGAAGGCGTTGAACAGGGCGTCCGTCTTCTCGTCGATGCTGTAGTCCCGCCGGGGCAGCGCATCCCGCCCCGGGAACATCTGCCCGTACGGGGACCAGGCCAGGGGGCTGTGGGGATGGGGGGGTCCCCCCCCAGCTGCGCCCCGGGCTGTGCTCCCCTCCTCCTCCTCCTCCTCTTCTTCCTCCTCCTCCTCCTCCTCCTCCTCTGGCTCCCGGCCCTCAAAGCTCTCAAAGATGGTGCCTTTCCGCCCCGCGCTGGTGAAGCAAATGCGCTTCTCGGAGGCCGTCTGGTCCTTGGGGGGCCCCTCCTCGCCCCCCCGGCTGGGCGCCTCGATGGAGGCGTAGCCGCTGTCCATCTGCAGCAGCTTGCGGGTGCCGGGCTCCGACTCCTCCGGCTTGGGCCGACCCCAGAGCTTCTCCTCGGGGCCTTCGGCCTCATCGAGGGAGGAGGAGGGGCAGGGGGGCATGCCGCCGGCCGAGGAGACGCTGTCCCCGCCGTCGCTGCGCACCGAGTCCTGGTCGTTGCTCCGCTCGGAGGAGGCGTACAGCTCCAGCGAGGCGCGCAAGCTCCAGATGTCGTGGTAGGTGCTGGGCTGCTCGGGGACGCCGGCCTCGCCGGGGCTGCCCCCCTCGCCCAGCTCTAGCCTGCGGGCACCAACCCCGGCATCACGGCGGGGCCAGAGGCTGCGGTGCCACACGGTCCCCCCCCATGCCGGCCCCACCACCCCCCCGATCCACCCTGCCCAGCACCGGCCCCCCCATCCGAAGCCGCACAAAGGCCAGACCCCCCCCCATGCTCGGGGCAGTGCGGGGGCCCTCGGTGCCTCCCTGCCGCCCGGCGCGCCCGACCCCGGCCCCTCTATCTATTGAAAAATACCTGCCGAGAGAGGGTGGGGGGCTGGCGGGGGAGGGCAGGAAGGGGCCGCCCGCGGGGTGGAAGGCCACGTCGTCCGTGCGGGCGATGTACTGGATGATGTCGGTCTGGTGAGGGTCCCGATCCTCCTGGTCCATGCTCTCGCTGGCCGCCCGCTGACGCTGGAACTGCCGCCGTTTGGGGGACCCTGGGGAGGGGGGGGGGGGGCACAGGGCAGGGCTGGGGCCGGGGGGAACAATCCCATCCCGGCACGGCGAGCCCTCCTTGACCACCTGTCCCCAGGCCACCCGGCACATCCCCGCTGCCCCCCCCCGCCCCGGGACCCCCCCCACCTCTCGTGTCCAGGCTGGATGCCCGCTGGGTGCTCTCCAGCTTCCACTTCTTGATCTTGAAATAGGGGCTGGCCCCGTCCAGGCTGGCGTGGCGGCGCAGGCGGGTGAAGAACTGCAGGACAGTGCCCTGGGCGGGGGCCGGGGGGGGCTCCCCGGGACCAGCACTGCCCATCCCGGCTGCCTTCCCGCTCCTGGGTGCTGCTGCAAACTGGGGGTGTTGGGGGGGGTGGGGAGGGGGATGTGAGTGCCTGCTTGGCTCGGGCATGGCCCCCCCCGCCAAGCTCGGCTGCAGCAGATGCACAAATGTCCCCCACGGGGGGGGGGGGGGGGCAGAGCCTGTTTCTAGCTGGATGCCCATGTCTCTCCCCAGAGCCCTGGCACGGAGCGGGGGGGTGGGCAGCCAGCTGCCCCCTCCCCAGGGCGTGGGGCCATCCCTGTGCTGGGGGCTCGGGGCAGGGACAGGACCCCCGGCGCTGCGCAGGGAGCCCCTTCCCCTGCCCGGTCCTGGCCCTGTGGCCCCCCCACCCCAGCACTCACCGAGGGGCCCTCCCCAGAGTCGGAGGAGGCGGAGGGACTGGCCTCGGTGAAGCTGGTGTCCACGGTGGAGTTGTAGGTGTCCCCGGGCAGGGCAGAGCTGGGGCACACGGCATGGCTGGGGAGCGCCGGCTGGGGCAGGGCCCCCCCGGGGGGCTGCAAGGCAGAGCACGCTCAGGGGGGCTTTGCAGGAGGGTCGGGGACCAGGAGGGGACCCCCTGCACCCCAGGACCTCCCATCCCCGCATCCAGCAACACCCTGAAACTCCCACCCCACCTCCAGCGGTGCCTCCTCGGGGTGCTGCAGGGTGCCTGGACCCCTGGCTCCCCCCCGGGGTGCTGGGGGCTCACCTGGAAGATGGCGAGGCCGGGCTTGGGGGGGGGCAGGCGGGGGGTCATGGCCAGGCTGTTCTCGCTGGACTCGCACTCGTGGATGGTGACAATCTTGAGGGCGGGCGGCGGGAGGTGCAGGTGGGTCAGGCGGGCGTTCTTCAGGTGGTGGAAGTCCCCCTCTGTCAGCGTGTACCTGTCAGGCACGCCGGGTTAGGAGGAGCAGCCCCAGCCCCCCCACCCCCACCCCGGCCCCCCCACAGCCCCGGAGCTTCACCTCCTCCCCTTCTCCTGGGTCTTCTTGCCCTGGTCGAAGAGCGCGGCCTCGTTGAAGGAGACGCGGCGGGCGGTGGAGGAGCTGGAGGAGAGGAACCGCTCACCCTCCACATCCCGGTAGCTGGAGGACGACAGGCAGTCGGGGTCCTCCACTTTGATGGTGATATCTGTGGAGAAGGGGGGTCAGCACTCCAGGCCCCCCCCCCGCCATGGTGCAGGCCAGCCGCCCCAGCTGAGGCCTGGCAAACTCACTGCACCCGGGGCCTCGGTGCGGGTCGCCCAGCCGAGGCACCGCTGGGGCGGGTGACGGAGGGTGCGGGGGGCGTGTGGCCACCCCTGCCCCAGCGCCGGGGGCTGCACCCGGGAGAGGGCAGGGTCCGGGCACTGGGGGTGCTGCTGGGGGTGCCACTGGTGGGCGATCGCCGGCCACTCACGGCAGCACCCCCGGCCCCGCCGCGGCACTCACCCTGGGCTGGCTGCGAGTCGTCCAGGTAGGTGGTGTTGGTTTTCTCCGGGTCATCGCTGGCTCTGAGGGGGAAGGAGGGTCAGCGGCGCCCCGTGCCAGCCCCACCCCACCCCCCCTCGGCCCCCTTCGTGGTGCCACACACCCCGGGGACGGCGGCAGCACCCGTCCCCGCGCCCCCTCCCCACCTGGAGTGCCGGCGGTCGGCCTCGCAGCACCGGCGGCAGACGATCAGGATGCCGGAGAGCAGGACCAGGGTGCCGCCGATGAAGATGGAGAGCAGGGCGAGGAGCAGCACGTAGCCATCCTGGGGGGCCACCTCACCGGGCACCGCCTGCACGGGGCGGCGGGGTGGGGGGGACACAAGGCACAGCCCGGCCCCACAGCCGGCCTCAGTGGGGGGGGTCGGGGCAGCCCCCCCACCCCCCACCCCCCCGCGCTGAGGCTGACGCGGAGCGCTGCTCCCCAGAGACGCTCGCACTCCCCCGCCGCCCCCGGGCCTGCTGCCGGCTCCGGGGACCTGCCTTCACCAAGGCAACGGCAGCCGGGGGGGGCAGAGCCGGCAGCGGCCCCCGCGCCGAGCGAGGACGGGACCCTCCCCCCCATGGGGCTCGGTGCTCGCACCCCCCCGGCTGCTGCAGGAGAGGGGCTGATCCAGCAGCAGCACCCAGGACCCCTCGGGGACCCCCAGAGCATCCCGGGGGGGTGCAGAGAGGACAGAGAGGTGCCCCACACACGCACACATGCACCCCCCCCCCCCCCGAGGACTGGCAGAGCAGGGTGGGTGACAGCAGGGTTGCCATTCCCCACCCAGGCGCAGACCCCAACCCCGCAGCTCCCACGCGGGGACATGCACCCCTCCCGCTCCCCCGGGACGGCGGCGGCGGTGGGCAGGGTGGCCCCACTCACCGTGCTGCTCTCCGTCGCGTTGTCCCAGGGTGTCGGGTCATCGCTCATGGTCCGTCCCGGCCCGAACGTGTCCTGGGGTGGGGGGAGACGGCGGGAGGGGCCGGGCCGGGGGCGGCGGCGGCGGGTCCTACCCGGCCCCGGGCCCTGCCCGGCACCGCGGTGCGGAGCTACCGGGAGGGAGGGACCGGGAGGGAGAGATGGAGGGAGGGACCGGGATGAAGGGAGGGATGGAGAGAGGGAGGGACCGGGAGGGATGGAGGGAGAGAGGGATGGAGAGAGGGATGAAGGGATGGAGGGAGGGACCGGGACGGAGGGAGGGTGCGGTCGGGAGGGAGGGCCGGAGGGAAGGTGGCTCCGGAGGGAGGGAGGGAGGGAAGCGGGGCTGGAGGGATGGGGAGGCAGGTGGAGCCCGGGATGGGGAGAAGGAGGCAGGGCCGCTGCTCCTCCCCGGGGACCCCCCTCGCCCCAGCCGGGCTCAGCCCCGGGGGTGACACGGGCACTGCTACCCCCTGCACCCACCCCCCGGCCCTGCGCCCCCACGCCAGGTCCACACTCCCCCTGGGAGCCGGAGCTGCCGAGTGGTGGCCGGTCCCGGTGGGCAGAGCTGGCCCGGGGGGGGTGGCCCTGGCCCTGCTCTGGGGTGGCTCACGGGGAAGGAGGTGACATCGCGTCATCCCGACATCGTCGTCCCCAAGCTGCCGTGGGGCCAAGGCGCAGCCCCCAGCGGGGACGGGGCTGCCGGGGGTTGGGGGGCAGCGGGGGGGGGGGGCACCCCGGCAGGGAAGGGTGGCAGATGGTCACCCCACAGCTCGCGTGAGCGGAGCTGGCGTGGGTGTTGCGGGAGCGCGATGCTTCTGAGTCAGCCCCACAGCGGCTCCATCACCCGACTGTCCCCACGGGGGAGGGGACGGGGACAGCAAGGGGCCCACGGATGATGGAGAAGGGCAGAGCTCCTGAGAGCCGCCGGGCTTAGGGATGGACACCTCCACACCCCCCACAGCCACGTGAACCCCGCGGGCATTGGGCTGAGACCCCCCCCGCCCACCCTCCCCAGGGGCTGCCCAGCACCGGGTCCCACGGTGGGTCCGTGGGTCCCAGTCCGTGTGTCCTGGGCTGCTGGAGGGGGCTGCGGCTGAGCGGGGAGGGGGAGATGCTGGTGGCGGGGGGAGTGGCAGGCGCGGGGTGGGGGGGGGGGGGCGTGCAGCCAGCCAGGGAGCTTAGAAACCGCTCAAAATCAGGTCAGTGAAAAATGTGAATGGATCTTGTGGCTGGGGGGGGAAAAGCCGCTCGCGGGGGCAGCGCGGGGGGGTGACCGTGCCCCAGCTGTGCTGCACCGAGCCAGGGACAGCCCTGCCACGGCTTGGGGTGCTGGGGACCCCCCGCCCACACCTGCACCCACCCTTGAGCACCTCCGAGCTGCTGGGGCAAGTGGGTTGACGCAACCCGCCCCACTACCCCAAGGGGCAGGAGAAGGGGGGGCCCCCTCCCCCGGCCCCCAGCAGTGCCGGGGGTGTGGGGGGACCCCAGGCATCGCATGGGGGGGACCCCGGCGGAGCGGGCGAGGGGCTGCGGCTCCACGCGGGATTGGGGCCCCACGGGTGGCATCCCTGCGGGTCAGCCCGTGGCCCGAGGCGGGGGGCGCGGGGGACCGGGAAGCCTGTCCCTCCTCTTCCCCATCATGGAGGAATCCCGTCTCCATGGCGACCCGGCGGGAACAGGACGGCCATTGTCTGGAGGAGGGGGCCGGTCCCCACGCTGCCCCCCCGGATGGGGACCCGGGGCCGGGACGCGGGGCCGCTGCGGGTGCGCGGGGCTCGGGGCCGGGGGAACGCGGTGCCGCCGCGCTCCCACGCGTGTGAGCCCGTGGGAGCGGGCGCGGGGGGACTGGGGCGGGTCTGCGCCCCACGCGTGTGTGTGTCCTGCGGGGCCCGGCTGGGCTGGGGGGCGGGGAGACCTGCTCTGCCCCCCCGACTGCAACAGCCCCCCCGGCCCCGGCCCGGGCAGGGATGCGGGAGCCCCCGGGACGTCCACGCGCGGCGGAGTGTGATGCGTTCCCCCGGGCCGGCTGGGGCTGTCGCGATAGGGGCTGTCGCGAGGCGGCGGGGCCGGGCACTCACCTACCACCGGGACCGGGGCTCCATCGCCGCCGCCGCCGCGCTCGGTGCAGCGGAGCGGCCCCGGGATTTATGAATGAACCGGAGCCGCCCCCGCGCGGCGCGGCCGTCACGTGGGGACAGGGGCTGCCCCGAGCCCTGCCTGTACCACAGCTCCCTGCCTGCCCCCCAATTCCCTGCCTGCCCCACAGATCCCTCCCAGCCCCCCAACTCCCTGCCTGCCCCCCAACTCCCTGCCTGCCCCCTAATTCCCTGCCTGCTCCCCAACTCCCTGCCTGCACCACAGCTCCCTGCCTGCCCCCTAATTTCCTGCCTGCCCCCCAACTCCCTGTTTGCCTCCCAACTCCCTGTGTGCCCCCCAATTCCCTGCCTGCCCTCCAACTCCCTGCCTGCCTCCCAATTCCCTGCCAGCCTCGCAACTCCCTGCCTCCACCACAGTTCCCTGCCTGCCCCCCGATTCCCTGCCAGCCCCCCAACTCCCTGTCTGCCCTACAGCTCCCTGACAGCCCCCCAACTCCCTGCCAGCCCCCCAATTTCCTGCCTGCCTCCCAATTTCCTGCCTGCCCCCCAGCTCCCTGCCTGCACCCCCAGCTCCCTGCCTGCCCCCCCAGCTCCCTGTCTACCCCATAATTCCCTGCCTGCCCCCCAATTCCCTGCTTGCACCACAGCTCCCTGCCTGCCCCCCGATTCCCTGCCTGCCCCGCAACTGCCTGCCTGCACCAAGCCCTGCCTGCACCCCAACTCCCTGCACCACGCCCTGCCTGCACCGAGCCCTGTCAGCCCCCCAATTCCCTGTCCGCCCCCCAGCCCCCTGCCTGCCCCCCAACTCCCTGCCCGCCCCCAAAGTTCCCGGCCCCCCCGGCTCCCCGCCCCGGGGCCCCCCCCGCAGCCCGGGCGGGGTCTCAGCGCCACAAACTGCGGTCGGGGAGAGGGAACTACAACTCCCACGCTCCCCTGCGGCCCCCGCCCCGTTGCGTCACTTCCTCCATCCGCCCGACGCCCCACGGGCCTTGTAGTGCTGCGGCGCGGGGCACGCCGGGAGCTGCAGTCCCGCCGCCGTCCCGCCCTGCCCCGCGCCGCCCGCTCGCCCTTGGGCCGCCGCCATGTTCCGCGCCCGCCGCCTCCTCCTGCGCTTCGCCGCCCGCCCGCCGCTGCACCGCGGCTACGCCGACCCGGCCGCCGGCCCGGCGCCCATGGCCTTCACCTTCGCCTCGCCCACGCAGGTAGGGCCGCGGGGCCGGCGGCCCTCGCCCCGCCAGCGCCGCGGGCCGAGGCCTGCGGGGCCGCCGCCGCGATCCGGGGGCCGCTGCAGCTCTGCCCGGTCGCGCCCTTCCATCCCTTTTGGGGGTCCCGCTGCCGCTGTGGGGGTCCCTTCCTGCCCCCCCGCGACGCGCCGGGGGTTGGCGGGGCTCGCCGCCCCCCGCCTCGGCGCTGGGAGGTTTGTGCCGGGTCGGCAGAGCCCGGGGGGGGGGGGGGGGGGGGGCTCCCCGCGCTCTCCTCGGGCTTCTCCCCGCCGCCCCTCGCCCGCTCCCCGGTGTCTCCGGGTGCCGCCCCGAGCGCTTTCCCGCTCCGTTTGCCCGGCCCCGGCCCCGCTCCCGCCCTGGGACGGTGCAGGCTGCCCTGGTCGCCCCTCGCTGGGTGTCGAACCCCGCAGCTGCCGGGAGCCGGGCTGCAGCCCACCGCACCGCTCCGGGCTGGCGGCAGCCGCCTCCTTCCCTGCTGACAGACCCTTCCCGCCCGCTCTGCCTTCCCCGGACAGGTATTTTACAACGGGGCCAACGTGAAGCAGGTGGACGTGCCCACCCTGACCGGCTCCTTCGGTATCCTGGCCTCGCACGTCCCCACCCTGCAGGTCCTCAAACCGGGAGTCGTGACGGTCCACGCAGAGGATGGCACGGCCACCAAGTACTTCGGTAAATAAAGCAGGTGGAGCTGGGGAGGAAGGAAAGTGTGCATGGAGGGGTTCACAAGGGAGGCTCTGCAGATCAAGCTGTGCCCTGGTGCTCTTCCAGGGATTTCTGCTTTCCCAGTCTCCCAGGGGCTGCTGCAGGCTGCCCTGCGGGGCCGGGGATCTGCCCTGGGAGGTGGGGCTCAGTGTGAGGCTGTGGTCAGGTTTGCTTGGCCCCGCTCGGGCTCTCTGGGAGCATCCCCAGTTTTAGCTTCCCCTTTTGGTGGGAAACGAGTCCCTGCGGGACTTGGGAAGGCGTTACAGGAGAGCGTCGAGGTTTTGTTTGGGAAAAGGGATCGCGGAGGTGCTGGGGATGAGCTTGCCAGGGTGTGCAGCCCTGCCCGACTCGGCCCCGCTGTCGTGCCTTCGCAGTCAGCAGCGGCTCCGTCACCGTCCACGCGGACTCCACGGTGCAGGTGCTGGCAGAGGAGGCAGTGACGATGGACATGCTGGATCTGGCTGTGAGTACCCAGTGCCCGTGGGCTGTGCTGCGTCCTGCCTCCCCGGGGCAGGCCCTGGCAGCCGGGCTCCCTCGCAGAGGGGAATTTGCTCCCAGCTTCTCTCATGGAGGGGGTGGTTTGTCTCAGGAGCTTCCTGTGGCGGCAGAAAACCTGCCCAGACCCAGCGCTGTGCCTTCACCTCGACCTTCCCCATCGCCCGCTGATCGGGATCAAAGGCTCACGCCTTCTGCTCCGTGAACTCCCCGCAGGCTGTGGGTCCTTAACCCTCCTCCCGGCCACTTCCCTCCCTTCAGACAGATGCTGATCTTGCCCCTCCCCACCCCTCCCAGTCTCCCTTCCCCAGCAGGGCCTGTTGGTAAGGTGTCTGCTGCCAGCGTGGGTCTGTGTGGCCAATGACTGCCCTGAAGGGAGGGGAGGGAGAGGGGTGACTCCAGGGCTGTAGAGCAAGTCACTTGTCCTGCGGTGGTCTCTCGATGACACGTTCCTTGCGCTCTTGTGTTCAGACTGCAAAGTCAAACCTGGAGAAGGCTGTTTCAGAGATGGCTGCAGCATCTGATGAAGCAGCTAAAGCAGAAGCTCAGATTAAAGTAGAAGCTAACGAAGCCCTTGTAAAAGCCCTGGAGTAATTCAGGCAAGTGTCACCTATATCCTGGCTGAGATTTCCAGACCTGCTCTGGAGACAAGTCCCTGCTCCGTGCTGCCCCGAGGGACCCTCCTCTTGCAGCAGCCAGGCCTGGGCCACGTAGGGGTGGATGAGGGTTCGTGCCTGGGTTTCGGGGAGCGGTGACATGAGAACTGTCCCTTTCAGTGGCCGGGTGTCAGCTCTGGGGGGCTCGTGGGGGGTGGCCCCTACCCGGAGCCTCTGGACAGCAGCAGGGTCCGGTGCTGTGCCATGGGGCTCAGCCTGAGGCTGGGACGGGCTGGGAGCCTGCAGTCACTGGTGGGGCCTCGCTGCAGGGACAGGCTGCTGCAGCGGGCAGCTCAGGAGCAGGCTGGATGCCTGGGGCCCCGCAGGGAGAGCAGTGTGTGGCCTCTGCTCCGCCTACGCTCCCTCCCACTAAAAACAAACCACTAAAAACAAACAACTTCTGCCTCAGGGGAGGTGCCTCCTGGCCAGGCTGTTTCCCCCGTGGCCCCTTTTCCCTCTACCCTGCTAAGACTGTGCCTCATCCCTCTTCTTCCCACGTGCTGGCAGTTGGGAGACCTGCTCAGCGGCAGCGTGTGTGCTGCGCCTGGCAGGTGAGTCACCAAAAGCCGCTCGGATGGCCTCTGCCTGGAGCAGGTACGGCAGGGCAGCGGCTCCCCGGCTGTCTCCTGGTCTCTGGTCCCCGTGCTCTTTGGCCCGTGAGGTCAGGCCTGAGAGGGCTGGTGGCTCCTGTTTACTCGCAGCAGTTTAACAGCCCGAGCCGGGGCCAAGCCCTCGGATCAGAACCCAGCGCTCTGCCGAGCCCACCCTGCGTTAAAACCGACTCCGCTTCTGTGTGTTGCAGGAATCCCGCTGTCGATGTAGAGAAACCCCAGCCTGTCCTACTTGTCCTGGCTTCCCCGGTTGTACAGATGGTGCGGGACAAATGGAGGCGGAGAAAACGCTCTGATCAATTAAAAGGAAATGTAATCCCGTCTCATCGCACGTCACCTTCTTCTGAGGCAGCAAATTGCAGCTTGTGCTGTGCCGGTGGCTGGGTGCCCGGGGGCAGGCTCCTGCCCCCACACCGGGGTCTGCCGGGGTGCCGGCGCTCAGGGAGGGTGTAGCTGCACTGCCCTGGGGTTCAGCTGGGGATTCCCGTGGGAGACTCACCTACGGGAGGCTTATCGGGCAGATTTTATAACTCCCTCCCTGTGCTGTCAGCCACCTCCGCCTCCAGTAATCCCCCTGGACAGCAGGATTGCGGTGGGGCGGGAGGAGGCACCCACGGGGCACCGCAGGGCTGTACCAGAGGCTTCGTGTCCCAACTCCCCCGCCCCATCCAACACCGGCTTTTTTTCAGCTTCCCGGCGCCGTTGCCGCAGGAATTCGCGTCGGCTGGGCTGTTTCTCCGCGCTGCTTCTTGCAGCTGGACGGCAGCTGCCCGGGCTTTGACCCGTTCCCCCGTGGCTGCATTTCCACCGCGCGTGTGGCACGCAGAGATCTCCTCCTGCTCCTTGGAGACGGGCTCGGTGCCGAGCGGGAAGCAGATGCCGAATGTGGTGGGAGTCTTCCCTGAATCCGCGTGTGCCGGGGGCGGCTCATGATGTTGCTCTGCTGAAGTTGCCGCTTGCCTGGGGGCTTGCGAGCCAGGGGGGCTGCCCCGGGCCCCTCGCCTGGTGCCACCCTCCCCACAGGGATTTCGGGTCCCCTCAGCCCCTTGTCCCCGGGCGCTCCCGGCGCCTGCCTGGCAAGACGAGCTGTCGGTGCGGGGCCGTGGGCTCGGCGGCCGGCTGGGCTCTCCGCGGGCGGAGCGGGCCACGGCTATTTTTGGCGCTGCCACCCAGGATGTAATCTTGGCTGCCTCCTCCTCTCGCCACCACCTCCTCCCCCTCCTCTTGCTCGCTCTGTCTTTCTCTCCCCCCCCCCCCCCCCCCTTCACAAGTGATCAAAAATAGTGCCTGTGGTGTTAAATTTCTCACTCTCTAGCTTATTAAAAGCCTCTGAGTGCCTGACGCTGAGCCTATTTGAAGCTCAGCCGACTTTCCAGTTTCTGAGCTGCTCCAGTGCCGTGTTCTTCCCTTCCCCTCTCTTCCTTTTTTTTTTTTTTTTTTTTTTTCTTTTAAAGGTCATACGTT